GGGTGAGGGCCACACGCAGTCGTGAGCCTTGCAGATGGCGGCGGGGGGGTCCAATGGCTTTGTGAGGAGACCGGAGTCCCGGATCTGCTTGAAGAGCCCCCACCAACCCAGGTGCCTACGCGCCGTGGTGAGGAGACGGTTAACTCCTGTCTCCCAGGACGCTAGCGAGTGAAAGCCCAGCCCCAGCAGCGTACGCAGGGCCTCCCTCCGGCCGCCCTGCGGAGACCAGCCGGAGGGAACGCTGGCCTGGGGCTGCCGGAGCGATTCTGCCTTCTGAGGCCACGTGCCGTGTGCAGGAGGCATCGGACAGCGCTCACCCGGCCCAGCAATCGGAGCCAAGACCCCTCCCCTGCAGAAGCAATGGGGCACCTGGCTTCCGTTGAGTTCTCGGGGACTGCGGAGTTTGCTGGTTCTCAGACCAGATAAGCGTCCCTCCAAAGCCACCCGCAGCTGCTCCTCCACAGTAACTGGCCCCCAATTGGCATGCTCAGAAAAGAAACGTTTCCACTTGGGGGGAAGCATGTCCGGCCCCTGCCCCACCTGTGCCCACTGATTGCACAGAGAGCCAGAGGGCTCCGGGCTCCTGTGCAGGCAATACAGCAGGGAGCCACAGCTCGGAGACCACCCGAAAGCTCAGAGCCAAGAGCCCGTTGGCACAGAGCAAGAGGCCAGAGCCAGCACACCCGCCCGGGCTGCCCCGTTTGACAGCCCTGACAGACCCATTGCACAGGCAGCTCAGTACAGCCCTGCCTGTCACCCCAGAATGCCCATCTGCAGGGCCCCACCACCGGCTCTAGGCAGTGACTCCAAGGAAACTGAGGAGGCAGCACTGGCCCGAACAAAAAGGCTGCAGCACATGCAGGGCCGGGGCCCCAAGGTTAATATTCAGCAAAATCTCCCAGCAGGGCTTAGAACTCTCCCGGCCCCTTCGGACAGCCCAGGGCACCTGCACCCGATTCCCGCACCGGACTGTCCACACAGGGCACACAGGGCAGAGAGGCGCCCACCAGAGAATGGTGCTTGCTGAACGTTCAGAGTCTCTCTCTCTCTTCCTCGGCTCCGTGGCACCTTACAGACCAACACATGTATTAGCTTTCGGAAACCCCACGGACGCTGGAATGTATTTGATCATCTCTAAGGTGCACAGGGCTGCTTGTTTTTACAGTAACAGACTAACACAGCTCCCCTTCTGAGACTCTCTTTCTGGGTGTTTGCTAGCAGGCATCGCTCACGGCAGCCAGGCGCACAATGCCCTGTCTCTGCTGCTCCCACCCAGCTGGTCAGCTCCGTGTTGTCATCGTCTCTACTCCCCTGGGGAACTGGAGAGCTGGGAGCCAGGGGTAGCGTGTTCTTTTCTAATCAATTTCCTGGGATCGCTGCCCCCTCTGCTGGCTGGAAGGGGTGGGCACGGCTCATGGGAAGTGGGGTGTAAAAGTGCCTGGGAAGTACCGTAGCTGCCTTTGTTTTGGAAACCGAAAGTCGTCACCGCTTCTGCTCCCAACCACTAGCTGGGCTAGGATTCTGGTCACTGTGTGCATGCACCCCAGCTCGCTTCGTGCTGAGGACCTGCCAGCAAGGGACATGCAAAGAGTTGCCTCCCACGTCTGTGATTCATTCGCTGCTGCCTATATCAAGGGCTTGGTTTCCTCCGAGTCGGCTGCGTCTTAGTTCTGCTGTTGTCTTATGGGCATCTCGCTGCCCCTTTACCATTGTGCAGCTCATCATGGGATAGTCAGGAGCAGTGCTCTGGCACTGGGAAAGTGCTGCATTTTTAAATGTTAAAACAACTTAAAAAACAACACATGGGCCTGTAGCACCTGCACCCTGGTCTACACTAGGCCTTTATTTTGAAATAACCTCTCTTCAATTGAATTGATATACGGAGCGTCCACACTACCATGCCTGTTATTTGGAAATAACGGGCCGCTTAATTCGAAATCTGTACATCTGCTTTTCTTGGGGAATAACGTTCATTCTGAAATAGTTATTTCAAACTAACATTAATGTGGACGCTACTTTGAAATAACTACTCCCCATTGTAATTTGAACTAATTACTCCTAAGTGCGACCTGGGGCTCTAAGCTGAGGTAGCACGTCCTCATTATCGGGGCCTGCCTTGAACTAATTTTGAGGCTCCCCCGTAGAGAGGACACACTATTTTGAATTTGTTAAATCGGGAGTTAAGTTGAATTTAGTCATTTTGAAATAGTTTCCTAGCGTAGACATGGCCTTAGAGACTAACAAAAATATAGACGGTATCATGAGCTTTTGTGCGCACAACACACTTCTTCAGACCATGAGTGGAGCAAGAGGCACTGAGGAAGTGGGTGGTGCCCACGAAAGCCCATGATGCCATCTATATTTTGCAGTGTTGTCTTCAAGTCATCATTGTCCAAGTCGAGTCTCAAGTCACTACAGTTCACGTCTCAAGTCAAGTCTCGAGTCCCTAAGGTCACTTTCAAGTCAAGTCCCAAGTCGAGTCTCAAGTCTTAATTTTAAAAATGTCAAGTCACTTTTGTACAAGCCATCAATATTGGCATGTTCGGACAATTTTTTCACTGAGTCGATTTAACAAAATTAACAAGTCTCGAGTCGAGTCTCAAGTCACAAGCAATGAGCCCAAGTTGAGTCTCAAGTCAAGTCACCTAGGCAACTTAAGTGAGACTCGAATTCAAGTCGTGGGACTTGAGTCAACAACTCTGATATTTTGTGTTGGTCTCTGAAGTGCTACAAG